AAGACAATGGCATCTTTGTTATTTTACGAAGTACCTATACATAATGAGAATACTCGCAATAACCACTTGGTATCCCAAAAAAATCGATAAGGGAAACGCGCGAACCGGGGAAGGCGCACGCGTCAAGCGTTACTGATGCGTGTCAGCTGTCCCGGTCGTAAGTAAAACGGCTGTGTACAGGTGTTCTGGAGCTCTACGTCCGTAATCTTCCAATGTAGAGCTGTGATTGAATGATTTAAATGGCTTGCGACAATCGTACGAAAGTGTATCTCGGATATGAGGACGAGTATGTCACGGACAAGCATCGGTCCTTGCTCAACTTTACGACTAACAAGATCGGCGGGCATCCGGTGGGTAGAATAAAGATAAATGAAACATTTATTTCTACGAAAATTTCACCTATCGTGATCTCTAGGTTTTGATTAAATTGATTGGTGATCATTCGTTAAATGTTTATTAGAATGTTGTGAACGATCTATATCTCTACCAAGCGAGATATTTACAAACCAATGAGATATATATGGAATATTTTCTTATTGTGTTGAAAGAAGGATGTATTCATCTAGCTTATGTAAATTTTAATTTGTATTGTTGAAGAACATTGTGTGTGTGTGTGTATGAATATAATCATAATAAATTTATTCTGTAAAGCAATTTCATTAATTATAACTATATTAAATATGTTAATAAAATTCTTAGAACAATACAAATTAAATTTTATATCAATAATTTGTAATAAAACTTGACATATATAATTATACAACTATATAATAATAAAATATATGTATATTACATTTTTTAGAATTGTTATGGGAAAAATACATTATTGTCGCCACAATGCAAACTCTGTGGCTTGTATCAGCTCTTAGCACTACAGTTGTATGCACCATTAGATAATTCAAAATACCATCGGACATTATACATATTTGCATGCATCAATCCAAACTGCTGGAATCAAAATAAAAGCTGGACGTGTTTAAGAGTACAGCACTTAGAAGATGAAACTAATACAAGTGTTCCGGATTCTGGGAGTGTTAACGTGCCATCTACAACAGCTTGGCTATCAGATGCAGATGATTGGGATGATAACGTAAATGACAATGCATCAGAACCAAATGGGAATAATATGTTGGAAAATGATCCATTACAATTTCATTTTTCTTTGCATAAAGAAATAGATCAGGGCTTACGAGAAGAGTTGTCTACACTGCGTGTAGATGATCCAAATGCAAATAGGTTTGTATTAAGATGTTTTATATATATATATATATATA